TATATATATATATATATATATATATATATAAGTATATATAGGCTGGTGTCGTTTTATTTAAATACTTATTTGTTTCGGCATGAAGTAGCCATAAGTGAGCTGTGGTTAATAGCATCTTTGTTGTAAATAGCAAAGCCAAAACAACAAAAATCTCCACACAATCAGAACAATTACCTCAATCTGAAAACAAAAATCTTCCACACCCCCTTGAAATATAAATATAAAATCACAGCAGGGTCCCAGAAAAAATAGAATTATGGGTTGCTTTGGGTATATAGTTTTAAGTAAATATAAAGAAATTGATTTTGAGAGAGGTGGAATTGAATAAATGTGTGTTTGAGTTGTATTCGTGATGATTAGCCACCTAATAAAAATAAAATTTATAATTAGTTAGGTGCAGAGTTGAATATATATATTTTGTGGGGTTGTTGTATGTGAGTTATGGGTGAATAAAATAGGTTAAAAACAAACCGCGGTTTTTGTGTATTTCTTATTATATATATATATAGTGTAAAACCGAGGTTTTTGGGGGTTTGTTGAGGGTGGAGTCACAATATCTATTAGCATTGATGCCAGTTTAAATTGGCAGACCTTAAGCGTCTTATATGAAATTGGTGTTTCTTAGTGTTTTGATAAACAAAGTGTTAGAGCTATCTTTCGGCTATAGTTTGGAGGGATAGTTTATCTTTCTGTCAAAGGTTGTGTGATTAATTGTTTGTTCTATGTTTTATGTTGTTATTGTTTTATTGGGTATTATACACAGTGGTGATTGAGCGGTTTCCTGGGGTTTTTTGAGTATTTGTTTGATGCACTTGAGGTGGGGTGTACCATTAGGGTTTGTAGTGTTATGTGTCTATTAATGTTATTATTTTGTGGAAGATTGAGTCTTTTCTTTTGTGATCACTATTTTTTTAGTCGAACAGCACTGTGGTATTTGATTGTTGTTTTTTTATTTGTTATGTGTTGTTTGGTTTTAAGAAACAGGTTTTTTATTTTCTCTATTAATGTGGAAATATTTAGGTGTTGTTAGGTATTTGTTGATTTTATATTATTCAAAATCGGATAGGTTGCGTGTTGGTTTAATTACTATGTTGGTTTCACGAATAGGTGATGTTGGCTTTTTTGTTTTGGTTGGTTATAGTTTTATATCTAAAAACTTTACTGGTTGAATTTTGTGTTTATGTATTGTAGTAGTTGTTTTAACGAAGAGAGTTAGTTTTCCATTTGTTTCGTGGTTATTAGAGGTGATTCGTGCACCAACGCCAGTTAGTGCTTTAGTGCATTCCTCTACACTAGTAGCTGCTGGTATGTGGTTTGTATGTTGTTACAGTTGGTTATTTAGTAGTGTGGAGACAGCTAGCGATATAATTGTGATTAGTTGTTTTATTACTATTTTTATTACTGGTTTTTGTGCTGTTGGGTTTTGTGATTTAAAGAAGTTGGTGGCACTTTCAACAAGAAAAAAAATAGCATAGTGTTTGTTTTTTTCTTGGGTAAACCAACACTTAGTTTAGTTCAATTATTGTGTCACGGTGTTGCTAAGTGTGGTCTTTTTATTAGGGTTGGTGATATTATGAGCAGCGGTGGAGGTAGCCAAAATTATACAAATTTTTATAGTCGTAAGAGTTTGTGGGAGCTTTGTTCATTATTTTTTATTATCTTTAAGTTGTGTGGGCTACCATTTTTAGGTGTTTTTTTTTCTAAGCATTTATTTTTTTCTGCACTATCTTGGTATAATATTATGTTTTGGGTTGCTTGTTTATTTGGATTAATTTTAAGATTTTGTTATTCTGTTCGCTTGTTTCTATTGTGTGTGGTTGGTAAGTCAGGCTACAACTTAAGCTTTGATAAAAAATTTGTTTTTGTAGTTTTACAAATTCCCATGTTTAGAGTTATAAATATGTTTTTAGGTGATTTAGTTGTTGATTGGTGTGAGTCGGATTTATGGATAAGCGTTTGTTTGCTATTATGTTCGATTGTGGGTGTTTTTTTGGGGGTGATTATTTCGTATACTTATTTTAGACTTAGTCGTGCTTGGGTTATTAGTTTAATGGGAATGGATTTGTGTGTATATTTATTTAAATGTTTTTATGGTTGAATTCGTAAAATTGGGTTGATTTGTCATTATCGTTGGGACACCACAATGGTATCATATATTTTTTTAAAGATTGGCGGTATTTGATCAATTAGTTTTTTTATTACTATTTTTTTTGTTTTTTTGTTGTTGGTTATTTTCTCAACTTAGTATATTTTGATTATATCTATTTTTCGTGTAGAAGATAAAATTTTTATTTTATTTGAGTGGTGATGAATCGATTTATGTCTTATTCGGTGTTGATATGCCAACGAGGGGTAAATTGAAATTATTTTGGTGTAGTGGATCTGTGGCTGGAGTGGCTATGGTTATTCAACTAGTTAGTGGTGTTGTTTGTTCTATCGAGTATGTCAAATTTGTGGGTTCTATGTTAGGATTTAGTCGGTCTGTTGGAGAGCCTGGTCCGATAATAGATGGGTTATCGCTTGAATTATTGCGGTTTTTACACCTGTGAGGTGCTAGGTTGTTATTTGTTTGTTTGTTTGTTCACATGGGTCGTGGTATTTACTATGGGAGGTACAGCAAGAATCCAATGATGTGAAGTTTGGGGGTTGTGTTGTATATTTGTATTATGGCTGAGGCCTTTTTGGGTTACTTGCTTCCGTGGCATCAAATGTCATATTGAGCTGGAGTAGTAATAAGTAGAATCTTTTTGTCTATCCCACTTGTGGGTCCAACA